GTCAAGTCCAACTGCTAACATCACAGACCCTTATCAACTGTTGCATAATGACTCACCAGATCAGGTTTGTGTTGTTTGTTCTCCTAATAAGTACTAATGACCTTGATGGGCCCAGATCTGCCAGTGTAGTTTGTGATGTCAGATCTGGGTCTATGCTGTTTACAGCTGGACTTGACTTGTAAGAAAGTATATACAGCATATCATGATTGATATGAAGGTGTAAGATTAATACCCAGGAATGAATCTCATATGATCCTTAATTAATGCTGGCAATAAATGCTCAATTGAGATCCACAGCAAGAGAACAGCTTGAAATATCCGTGTTTATGAAGTAGATTTATCTCTGATATTCATCAAAAAGTCTTGAAAAAATACAACTTCAAATGACTGGCCTCAGTCACCCAATTGCATTGTTCTCAGACTGAAGACTATGGTTAAAATGAGATTTCCAACATAATGGAAATCTCACAGTCATATTTTGTTGATGTTTTGACTCACCAACCAAATTACTGCTTTCACAAACAATATCTCTCAAACACAAAATGCAAAGCTGTAATTGATAAATTACTATAAAAAATGGATCATAAATTAAAAAGAACTCCAGAATATTTATCGCTTTCTGTTAGATCCACTTATTATAAGCAGATATTGATTTTAATTGGATTCTTGAACAGAACAAGCTATGCTGGAATATTTCTTTCTTTTCAATTTCTCAGAGTTGTTCTTGTAAAAAATACAAGGCCTACAAGTGTTAATTTAGTACATGTATGGAAGAATTCATTTAGCAACCATATGGAAGTGTTCATTGAGTACATGTATGGAAGTGTTCATTTAGTACATGTGTGTATGTGTTCCTTGAGTACATGCATGTATGTGTTCATCAAGTACATGTAAAGAGATGTTCATTGAGTACAATATGAAGGTGTTCATCTAGTACATGTACAGATGTGTTCATCAAGTACATGTATGAAAGTGTTCATTTAGTACATGTGTTGATGTGTTCATTGAGTACATGTGTTGCTGTGTTCATTGAGTACATGCATGGAGGGGTTCATCAAGTACATGTACGGAGATATTCATTGAGTACATTATGGATGTGTTCATCTAGTACATGTATTGATGTGTTCATCAAGTACATGTATGGATGTGTTCATTAAGTACATGTGTGGACATGTTCATTGAGTGTGTGTGTGTAGAAGTATTCATTGAGTATATGAATATAAGTGTTGACTACATGCATGGATGTTTTCATCAAGTACATGCATAGAGGTGTTCATCAAGTACATGTATGGAGGTGTTCATTGACTACATTATGAATTTAATAATTGAGTATATGCATGGATGTGTTCATCGAATACATGCATGGATGTTATTTTGAGTACATGAAAGTGTTCATTGAGCACATGTATAAAGATGTTCATTGAGTACATGTATGTGTATGTTCATTTAATACATGTATGGATGTGTTTATTTAGTACATGTATGAAAGTGTTCATTGAGCACATATATGAAAGTGTGCATCGAGTGCATGTATGGATGTGTTCATTTAGTACATGTGTGGAAGTGTTAATTTAGTACATATATGGAAATGTTCATTTAGTGCATGTATGGAAGTGTCCTTTAGTACATGTGTGGAAATGTTCATTTAGTACATGTGTGAAAGTGTCATTTAATGCATGTATGAAAATGTTCATTTAGTACATGTGTGAAAATGTTCATTTAGTACATGTATGTAAATATTCATTTAGTGCATGAATGAAAGAGTACTTTAGTACATATGTGGAATTGTTCATTTAGTTCATATGTGTGTTCATTTAGTACATGTATGGAAATGTTCATTTACTACATGTATGGAAGTGTCATTTATTACATGTATGGAAATGTTCATTTACTACATGGGTGAAAGTGTGTATTTAATACATGTATGGAAATGTTTATTTAGTGCATGTATGGAAGTGTCCTTTAGGACATGTGTGGAAATGATCATTTAGTACATGTGTGAGTGTTCATTTAGTACATGTATGGAAATGTTCATTTACTACAATTATGGAAGTGTCATTTAATACATGTATGGAAATGTTCATTTAGTACATGTATGGAAATGTTCATTTAGTACATGTATGGAAATGTTCATTTAGTACATGTATTGAAATGTTCATTTAATACATGTATGGAAGTGTCCTTTAGTACATGTATGGAGGTGTTCATTGAGCACATGTATGGAGGTGTTCATTGAGCACATGTATGGAGGTGTTCATTGAGCACATGTATGGAGGTGTTCATTGAGCACATGTATGAAAGTATTCAAAGCAGTGCTACAATCTAGGAAAGCATAACCCAAGGTCAATAATTGATACAGAGCATTTACCTGTGGTTCTGAAGGTAGGAACCTCCCTTCGAAAATCATCCAGAGACAACAACACACACATCTAACCCAAACCTACTTGCAGTTAGATTAACACATATCTTCTGCCTGGTAACAAGATCAGGTGGAAGAATTCATAAAAAAAATACATTTCTCTTTTGTTTTTACCATCAGCCAGGTGTAACAACATAGGTAATTATGCAATGATGAAGATGACATCATGACTTTTCCAAAGCCTAGATTTATGACAACATGTAGCATTCTTGGCAACTCTTCTGAAAAGCACAGGACTTGAACACCAGAACTCCTCTGCCACTCAATGATTCAGAAACTAATTACATGCATTCCAAAATATCATCCAAAGTGTATTTGGCATTTTCAGTAATACCTAAAACCCATTTACAAAGTGGGAAGGTATGAACCACTTCAAGCACTTCAAGCTCAGCTATGGATCAATTTTTCATGTATTTTTATGCATCTTGGAAACTGTATAGCAATTTAATTCAATCCACCAGTCAGAAATATGCCACCCAACTCCAACCCACTTACCAAAAGATGTCAGATTAGCTTTATGCTTATACATTATAAAGATGTTTCAATTCAGAATGCAAAGCATTTGTTCCCTAACTCCACAATTACATAAGCCATTACCAACCCTTAAACATTCTTCCTCCACCAGTTATATTGGCTGCCATGAGTAGCCTATCTTTTGCTGAAAAATGACATTAAACCACATAACAACAACAAAACACCACCATATATAATCACATATAAGTCTTGTCCCACTGTGTACTGCATAGACCCAGATCTTCCATTACATAATGCAATGGCAGATCTTGGTTTTTGCAGTATTTTAGGAGTAAACACTAGAACAAACAATATTGACTCAGATCAGAGCAGGGTCTATGTGGTGTGCAGCTGGACTCAACTTATAAGTGATGTAACCACATTTACGATTGTGAATATGAATGAGTTTGTTGACATCTCTACTATGTAAGTACCTCTCAGGTGACCAAGGGGTTAGAGCATCCACTTGGAAATGGGAGGTCATGGGTTAGAACTTCAGACAAGCCTTTGCCAAAGATTTGTAAAATGATACTAACAGCTGCTATGCTAGGTGCTCCATTAAGAGGTTAGTGTTAGGACTGGTCAGCCTGGTGTTAGGATAATTTGACTGGGTGGGACATCATGTTACATGTCTGCAGCATGATGCCCCAGTGCTAGACATCACTATAAACTGCAGATATTGTAGCAATATGACTGAAAACAACGTTAAAAATCACACACCCACACACCCACCATTTGTAATTAACATAGCATAATAATGACAAGTGACAAGTGAAAACAACATGACAATCTTCATACATAAAGAGCTTGTTCCCAACTTCACTTGAAAGCTCCAGCCAGAGTTTTTATTATCAATGATAAATTTCCTATAAATAAACAAAATTTGTGATAGCCTTTGATACTGTAAATATAAGAAAATGGCAGTTCCAAGAAGAAAATGTTTGCCATAATAATTTGTCAGAATTTTTTCCTAGCATCGTCATCCTAAGGACAGCTACCATTTTAAATATTTATCCATTCTTATTTACTTCTTGATCATTTCCATGATTATAGTATCACTCCCAGACCTAAGTGTTCAGGATATTGCAGTAAAGTAATTTAAGGTCTATGTATAGCATAATATGTACTCACTTATAAGTCACTTTAACCTACAAACTTTATAGACTCATATCTGCAATCACATAATGCTTCAGCAGATCTAGGTCTACACAGTTTCAAAGGAGTAATAAGTAAAACAAACAACACAGACCCTGAGTTGCCAGTGCCTTACCCAATGGCAGATCCGGGTCTTTGTTGTTTGCATTTGGACTTGACTTATAAGCAAGGATGTATTTTTTATGGTTATATCTAATGAGGTGATATTATCACAAAAAGAAATAAATCATGTATGGATCTTGACTTTTCATGGTAATTATGTACAAACTGGTTTTGCAACCAAGAAGCAGTCATTGCTGTCCAAAAAAAATTACTCTTTATTTAAATCTTGCTTTATCTAGTTAGCAATTAGGTCCACCAATGGTAAGGTGGTCTTTATTACCTATGCTTTTATGAATTTTGATTTACCTTGACAATTACAGGCACTCAACAACAGCAAGGGAGGAGTCAATGTTGTCAATATTTTTCTTATATAATCATTAATAATAATAATACTGTGCCAATTTGAAAGGGCCAGATTACATAAGTACCTGACCAGTGGTGAGAACCTCAAATGGCCAGACATCCTTAATTATATATTGATTCCGGGAACATGTTATTTGGCAAGTTGTGGGTATTACTTAAATTACAAGGATACAAAAACAAATGTGATAGAAGGGTAAAATTTTCTACAGTAGCCTTCTATGGTGATAAAATACTCACTCATTATAAAGCCATTCAGTGTAACCCCACCCCTCATATAAGGTGAACATTTTGCAATATTCACTCACTATCAAGATCCTCACTATTAAGACCCTCACTATTACACTGCCTGAAGTATAAAGCAATATTTTGCAAAAATCTCTTTAAATTAGCTTAAGTTTTGTCACACCTATTTTGATTTCCTATATTTTATATTTTGGCTAAGAAGCAGTATTGACTCAGTGGTTAGAGTGTTAAATTCAAGATCAATAGGATGTAGGTTCAATCCTGCCATAAGATCAACCCAGGTCAGCTGCCAAAGCATCATTGCCACTATTATGCTAACATGCCACAAAACTCAATTACAATATGCATATTTTAGAATTGTTACCAACCAATAAACTGAATGTTTATCTACAATAATGTAAATATTAAAATATTATTTGTCATAATTCTGGATTATTCATGGAACTAGATAACATGATGATTTCTAACAAGCCAATACTAACCTGACACCCTATAGTCATAACAAAATAGATCTTAATTGCCCATAATTTGTTAAAATAAAAATGTCCCAATTTGGATGATAAAAATCATGTCCCTGTCTTGTAGATTGTATAAGTGTGTGTGTGTCTGTCTGTCAGTGTGTGTGTGTGTGTGTCTGCAGTGTGACAGTTTATAGTGATGTCTAGCACTGGGGCATCATGTCACACACATGTAGCATCTGCTTGGACCATTTTAAGTCTTTGGTAAGACTCAGCCGAGTTTCAAAACCACAACCTCCCACAACCGGGGCAGATGCTCGAACCACTAAGCCACTGGAGTGATCACTACACAGTGTGCATAGCTCTTTTTTTTATAAAGCAAATTATGCAAATTTTTTAAATATTGGGAAAAAATATTATAGAGTTTAAAAAGGAGTCTTGAATCCTTGTAATACATCAACATGAAGCTAATATAATATAATATAATATAATATAATATAATATAATATAATATAATATAATATAATATAATATAATATAATATAATATACAAATGATTTAGACTAATATTTATAATCTATGCCTCTTTCTACCATCAGTTAATAACTCATTTGTCAAAGCATCTACTTACCACACTGAACATAATTCAATTCCCAAAAAACTTTTTTTTACCTTTGTGAATGTGACAAATGCCTCAAATCTCCATCAGTATCCATTTACAGGTTACAAACTAAGATTCATGGATTACAGTAATTTCAAAAACAATCTCAATCTTACAAAGTATTTTTCTGCAAATTAAATTAGATAAAAACTTACACAAAAATGTGAACTGTACATTTGTCTGCAATAATTACATTTTTCCAGATGATATGTAATATATGGGGGGTGGGGGAAGAAGTCAGGGTCCGGGTCTTATTCTTATTCAGCATTCATAATACCAACAACTTTTCTCATACTGGACCAGTAACTATTTAATAGGATTTTATTCTGTATTTTAATATCTGATGGTCGCAAGTCCTGTAGGTTCTGATTTTGCTGCAGGTACCATTATCTTGAATGTTTAATGCAAAAGAGAGAGAGATAGAGAGAGAGTGAGAGGGGAGGGTGTGTTCTAGTTAAGATTCCACAATGAATATAAAATATTCATTGCTGTATTGTATCTAACCAAGTTCAGATGTTTGGTATCACTTCTGGGTTTGTCAATATTTCCATATCTTTTGTTAGGTATGGCTTGGCATGCAGATAAAATAGAATATTTATCTCATCGTAAAAAAACAGGCATGGCATTTTCAGCTTTCTCGGTTTTAGGTTTTAATGACACTTGTAACTGTAAACACATTATTGGCTATACCATGCGTATACACACTCGGTCAGTCGAACAAGGAATACACAATAAGTCAACCATTAGCATTCCCCTGTAGTAATTACAGCTGTGATTTAGTCACATGCCAATGCAATCCCCTATATAGGAATTCAACAATTACAGCTGTGATTTAGTCACATGCCAATGCAATCCCCTATATACAAATTCAACAACTACAGCTGTGATTTAGTCACATGCCAATGTAATCCCCTATATACAAATTCAACAAGTACAGTTGTTAATGTAGTCATTGTCAATTCATTATCCCATACTCAAATTCCAGAGTTAAATCTATGATGCAGCCCTTATCTTGAAGTATTCCCTTATATTAACATTCAGCAGTAACAGTTTTGATGTACTAATCATGTTTGTGTATACCCCTATACTCACATTCATTAGTGACTGTACTGCAGTCCTTGTGTTACTTTTTCACTATAATCACATTCAATTATGACTGTGATACATACCTTGTGTCTATACATTCCCCAATAGTCATATTCAATTATGACTGATGCAACCTGTGTCTATGTATTCCTCTATACCCAGATTTAATTATGATTGTGATACAATTTATTCCCTATAATCACATTCACTTATAACTTAAATGATGCAGTCTTTATGTCTATGCATCTATACTCACATAAATTTTTTTATGACTTATGAAGCCTTCATGTCTAAGTATACCCTATACTCACAATCAATTATGACTGATGCACCCTTTGTGTCTATGTATTCCACCAGACTCACATTTAATTGATTGTGATTGTGGTAGTGGAATTTGGTTATCATTATCCAGAGGGTGATCGCCTTCAGTGTTATTGACCAGATGAGTAGATATCAATATGAAGTGTGAAATTTATAGGTGGAATAGATAGAGATCTGAGCAGATATATAAAGCAAAATGACAAGCCCCTGTACATGAAAAAATAACAATTTTATTCAATGTCATAAACAATTAATACTTAACACTAGTAAGATGTTCTTTTTTTAAATAAATCATTCAACAAATTTCAAACACAAATATACTAATATAAATAGCTGATCTGTTTTAAGTGACAGAATTAGTTCTTCATAGAATCGAAAGAACAATTGAAGTGAATGCCTTGTACAATTTCATAACCTGATTATTTTTGGTTCATTCCAAATTCACTGTAATTGTTCTTTAACTTCATTGTGTCTATTCGTCTGGGTCCCTTCCACTTTTCCCTACTCCAAACTCTCTAGTGTCTCGCCTCTTTTGGCCCTCAAACTTTGTATGGGTAGGTGGATATGTAAGTATGTGATACATAGATACTTCAATAGATAGATATGTGGATATGTCACATGGAGCTATTTCACCTTCCAAAAATAAAGAAAGAAGCAACCTAAATCTTGTCAGATTCTACTGGGAATAGATCATTACTCCCCCTCTCATTATGTCATATATAATTCTATCAGAGTTCAAACAATTACCAAAGGCTATCTTGTCAAGCTAAACATGGCTGATCATACAAAACTGCCCTAGTTTGACAAGATTAATGTACTTCCTAATGACTATTTCAACACTGGCTCACATTAACATCACACGAGACACAAGACAGTTCTGTTCTTATCTCTTTTAAAGAAATGAATGAATGAAAGACATTACATGGCTTAACTACATTATTTCTAGCAAATATACACATTCAAATCTCTAGCATATATGAAATCTCACTTCCTGGTTTAGCAACATTAATTTCAGTCAATACACACTCAAGTCTTTATCATACGTGAAATCATATAAGATCGGTGAATTCACATGGATTCTCATAACTCGTGTCAACTAAAGTAATGCATGAAATTCTTAGACTACCTAATTTCTTATAACAATAAAGACAACAATTCAAACGATTCGTCAAACTTTTATAAAGAATATCATTGTACGGGTTCATACAGATGAACTCATACAATTGCATTCATATCAAGAAAATTGATCTAAGAATCTAAACAAATTGATGCAAATATAAGAAATTAGTCAAACAAATCGTTATATTAATATCAACAAATTACAGGAGATTAACGCAAATACCTTTTTTTTCCAGCTTTACTGCCAAAATTGTGTCCATCAATTTCCCAGACATCTGATCTGTTGGATAATTATTTATGACTGAATTTCTTTTAAATTTGAACTATAGTCTGTTATACTTGTTTTCTCTTGCAGAAAAGCATAGACTGACTAAAAACTTTACGATGGGACATATTAATTCCCAGAGTTTTAGTGTGGGAATCACGCCACTTATCTGACATAACCAATCCTAATTAAATGTCTCTCCTGCATTAACCTAGGCACCAAATTATAGTCCACCTGATAAATCCGGATTACCAAAAACTGATTCTGGAAAATTTCAATTCTGACAATTTTGATACAAGATCAAAAGTTGAACCTATCTTTCCAGCCTGTCTGACTTGTTAAAAAAAATGAATGCTTAATTAAGAATCATTTCTCTCATGACACAGACATTACCAGACCATGTATTATGGTGATTTAAACATGCATTGGTCCCCATAAATCTAATTACTGGTAATCATTAACCTGCCCAAATTGATGTGCTCTTCCTAGAGCGACAGAAATTTGCAACCTTACAGTGATACAATTTATTTCCCTATAATCACATTCAATTATGACTTCAGTGATGCAGACTTATGAAGCGTTTATGTTTATGTATATCCTATACTCACAATCAATTATGACTGATGCACCCTTTATGTCTATGTATTCCACCAGACTCACATTAAAATAAGGGTGTGATGCCGTCTTTACATTCTCCTATACCCACATTAAACTACAGCTGTGATGCATTGTGTCCATGAGACTGCTCCAGTGGCCAAGTGGTTAGAATGTTCACCTCCGATGTGGCAGGTCACGGGTTCAAACTCCAGCCAAGTTATACCAAAGACTTCTAAAAACTGGTACTAACAACTGCCTCGCTTGGCGCTCAGCATTAAGAGGTTAGTGCTAGAACTGGTTGGTCTGGTGTCAGGATAATGTGACTGGGTGGGACATGATGCTAAATGTCTGCAGCATGATGACCCCATGCTATCATCACTATAAACTGTCACACTGCAGACATTGTAGTGAATGACGGAAAAATTTTTAAAGGCACGTTAAAAATCTAAATAACACACACACACACCATATTGTGTCTAAGCATTCTCTTATAATCACTTTCAATTAAGGATGTGATGCAGTTCTTGTGTATATGTTACAGCTGTGATGCTGTCATTGTGTCTATAAATTCCATTATACTCACATTCAATTAGGGTCATGATTTCCCTTATAAGACACACAGTACTAATTATATGGAAGAACTGTGAACCAGTCTAGAAATGGGTGAAGAAATAATAGAGTATATATGGGTTTGGTGGTCCATGATTGGTTAATAATGAAAAGTAAAATTTTATAAAAAATATCTTTTGAGAGCTTATCCTATCTG